TTGGGTATTGTAATGCATGTAAGTATTCTGAAATTTTTGAAATTTTAGAAGCACAAAAGTGGGTTAAATTATTTGGTGAATGCTATGATAATATTTTAGTTCATGGTGCATTGAAAGAATTTTGTGCTAATTGGACATTTAACAATGGAGTTGCAAGTAGTAGAGTGAAGAATATTGCAATTTCTTTTAATGCAGAGTATTTGAGTTCTATATTTGGTACTCCAAATAAGGGGTATGACTACTACTTTACAGGAACCCAATATGATGGAAAATTTGAAGGTGTTTCTGTCAAAGACATGGTAAAATCAATTGGTGGTAATCCTCTTAAATGTCGAGCAAACCATAAAAATTTTACCCCTCTCCAAAAAATCCTATTTGTGTTTGTATGGCAAGCCAACATCCCTCGTACCCAACATCGAGACCTTGCAAACAATCGAGATGTCGTACTCTTATACCTCCTAGAAAACAAAATACCAATTAATTTCCCATCTCTTATGCTCCAACATCTAAACCATACTACATCACAAAACCATAAAGTGGGATATGCCAATCTGCTTACTACCTTGTTTGATAGTTTCGGTATCACATTTGAAGGATATGAAACTCTCAAATATAAGCCTAAAAACTACCTTCAACCCTCAACCCTTAAAGCAATGAACATGTGTATTGTTGATGGAAAATCGAGGTTTATGACTGAAGATCAAAAGAAAAAAATAGTGGTGGATAGTGAGAAGGAAGAAAGTAAGGTGGAAGCAAAATATAAGGAGGAACAAAAGAGTAAAGAAAGAGAAAAAATTGAGGGAGAGCTAAAAAGAGAAGAGGGAGAACAGATTAAGAAGAGGAAGAGTGTAAGAATTGCTACAAAGTGTGTGAAAAAGGTGATTAATTCTCCTGTATTTCTTGACTCAATTGAAGAAGCAGGAATTAAGGGGGAAACAAAGGGGAACAATGAATCAGTCCCCATCTCAGTTTCTCCTAAGGGCTTTGCTTCTTTCAGTTCCTCATGTACCACCAATGATTTAAAGGAACAGAAGGAAGCTATAAAGTTGTAGACACCCATTTGTGTCTCCCCAAAACCAAACCCGGTGATGAGTACCTTTTGCGTCGTATCATAATCGAATGAAGTGAAAGTGTGGAAAGTCTAGTGTTGCGGATAGTTTTTAATTCTTTTTTTTCTCTCTGTTTTTGAAAACCTATTTTAAGAAAACAACCAATCAATATTGGTTTGGTCTATAGAAAGGGTCCAATAATGGTGTAGTTGGATGGGGTTTGAAAAGAGCTTTCCAACGATATATTATAAGCCCAATTCCGATGAATAATGAGGAAGTTATGACCAAATTACTAAACTGGGTCCGGTTTGATTTTTATGTGCGGCCTAATGATTTAGGGGAGGGCCTAATATTGATTTATCATTCATAATGCAATTAGAATTGATTTTAGTCATCTAGATTCTTCTAGAAGGTTCTTTTCATTCCTAATTCAATTAGCATTGATAAATTGACTTTGGTTGACTTTTCAGAGTTTTAATCAGAATAAAAGTGTTTTTAAGAAAAATACGATATTGCCCTTCTGTACGGCTAAATTTTATCAAAATTAAGAAAACGCGTGAAAACGGCTATTAGCGCCTGACGCCAGTTATTATTCTCGTCAAAACTCTAATTCGTTTTTCTATCCGTTTGGCTGATTTTCTCTATAAATAGCCTCCTAAAACCTCCGTTTCTAATCATCAACTCTCTAGTTTTCTAATTCTCTTCTCTCTCTAAGATAAAGCTTATTCTCTCTCTCTCCTAGCTTTTCTCTACAAAATTCCGCATTCACAAGGTCTTAAACCACCTAGCCCAGTTCGAAGTTGCCTTCGCCCTAGACGTGAAAGGTTTTTAATTTCTGAGGGTTTGGTCCCAAATCTCTCTTTCAATTATTATTTAATTTAATTCTTTTGATTTTATAATTTTTCTTGAAGTTACTAACGTGTGTATTTTGTTATTAGAAAGAGATACGAGGCATCCAAGTAAGTACTTTTATTGATTTTATTGATATTATGATATAGATCGAAATCATGTCTAGGTTGTTATTATGATTCCTAGTATCATGTTAGGATGCTTCATATGATTTGAATGACAACAATGATTCCTAGTATCATATTTAGGGAAAAGGTTATAATATCAAATATGACAATTGTAATTCCTGCGATGCTTCCTATTTTCTTTCCTAATATTCATGTTAGTATCATGTTAGGGTTAAAGCTTTGATTTTTATATGTTTAGTGACATGCTAGGATTTGTGATTAATCTTGTTAGTATCATGCCTAGGATCTTGCTATTATTATACCTTAACATGATTTATGATTGTTTTGATTATGATTATAATAATTATTATTATTATTATTAATATTATTATTATTATTATTATTATTATTATTATTATTATTATTATTATTATTATTATTATTATTATTATTATTATTATGTTGCTTGATATATATTATTATTATTGCTTGATCACTCCTTTAACGCATGTTTAAAGGGAATTTGTACTTGTAATCACGTTTAATAAGATGATTAATAATCTTGTTTAGGATTAATATGATTATAATTCAAGTGATCGCCAATAATAGTTTTGTTTGAGCATTAATATTCAACCAACATAGATAAACAGGTTTAGGGATAATCCTATTGATTGCATGTTAGTCAGAAAGCGCACATGAATACGATCAGAATAAAGTAGAGGCCTATTATTAGGGAATGTTTAATCTCTTTTAGGTTGGATTTGTACCTTCATCCCCGAACTACCAGTCATGGTTCAAGACCTATTGGAGTTGACGATCTCCTGGATCGTTAAGGGGTGTAACCTTCACGTCGTGAACGGTTTACAAGTTCCTAAAACTTGTTGGCGACTCTTTTGCTCTATCTTCTTTCCCTTTGGACGCCACTGTACTTTAGTGTATGATCACAGTGGAGTTCAAGCTTGGGATAATGCTTGAAATAATCCCTACAAAAGTCCTTAAGTATTAGTTAGCCTATGATTATGCAACGATTAGAGAAGGTGGAAGCTCAATTAGAAAATCTTACAACCATCTCTACATTTTGGTTAGTGAATTAAAGAGGAACCATCTCAAAGTTACTGACAAACAGAAGGAACTAATGGACCGCCTTGAGGATCTAATGGTGAAAGATATCCCCAAGGAGGACACCTCTGAACAACACCTTTCTCCTTCACATGATGCCTAACTTACCCTTTCCTTTCTACTGGAGTTTGACTTTGGATTTTCTTTTAAACTATTTTAATTTGCTTGTTTAAACACTTAGCTTTTCTTGTGGGTCTGTAAACATTAAAACAGGGTATTATAATTTTTGGCTTTGACAATTGGAGGACATATTGCTTGTGTCTGATGATATTTAGAGTATGATTGCTTTTAGTATTTTGCATAATATATGATTGCTTGGATGGAGATAGTTGGTAAAATCTAAAATGGACTTCAAACCATTTTCCAATGGTGCAAGGGGGAAATGGAAGAGAAACTCACTGAGGTGTAGAAATCGAGTTCTGAGCATTGGTATGCTATTGATTTAATTACTATCTTGTCTTTTTTTTTGTCAGTTTGGATAAATTATTATGAGTAGCATGATAGTTTTGTTAGTATGAATAAATTATTATTAGTAACATGATACTAGTTTATTTTGTCAGTTTGGATATATTATTATGCGTAGCATGATAGTTTTGATAGTATGAATTAATTATTATTAGTAGCATGATAATAATTTTTTTAGGGATCCTTTGTATATTTTACTTCTCTAATATTATGTGAGTTTTCTTGGTTTATCATTCATCAAAAAGGGGGAATATTGTTGACCCTTATGTGTTTTGATGATGACTCAAGCAAACTTACACGTTTAACAAGTGTCTTTAAGTATTCTAAGTCTTAGGTTTCGAGGAGGAAACTAAAGTATGTGATGATGTACCAGAGGAGGAACGAGCATACTTAAAGACAAAGGAAACTTAAGACTAAGCGAGAAGTTAAAATTAAGAAAACATGACGTTAGTTCCCCGGGGGAACTAAAGAATGGAAGCCTCAGAGTCGAGAAAGTAAGGAGTTTAAAAGTTATTAGGTTATCTTTTTAGCTTCTTGTACGTATAAATTATATTGAAATAAGTAAGAGTAAAGTGGAATAGTTATCTTATTAATTATATTTTTCTAAAATCCTATTAGATATTATTCAAGTAAATAATTATCTTTTGGAAAATATAATTTGAAGGTAATATCTTTTATAAATATCTTTAACTGATTTGGTTTTTATTTTTGAGAAAAAGATTTTTTATGGAAAATATTTTTACGTGGGTTTTAATCAGTCAAATTAGTTGAGAAAATTAAGGAAGCAGTAAAAGAGTTTGAAAAATCATGGGTTAGTTGTGTTCACTTGCAGCACAAGCATTTCACTTCTACGTGCTCCTCAAGTTGAGGAACATGGAGTTAGTGGAACAAACTAACTGATTAGTGGATGCATTTCTAACTCTATAAATAACGCTTTCTTCAGTTTGCAAAAATACACTTGAGCATTCTAGCATATTTATTCTTACTTATTCCACTTGAGTCTAAAAGTGTCTTTGTGATTTATATTAGAGTTTAATACATTGAGTTGTAATTTGGGGTGAGAGTTTGAGTGAACTCTAGAGTGTTTATTGCTTTGAGTGAAGCAAGGAGAAAAAGAGTGTTTTTGAGCGTTCAATTGTTGTTTGCCCTACTATAATTAAGAGTTGAGTTTTAAAATCCCTTGTGGTCGTGGTTTTTCTTATTGATTAGGGCCAAGAAGTTTTCCACGTAAAATCTCTCTGTGCACTTTAAGTTCTTCGCTTAGTTTCTCTATACATTCCGCAAAAATTACCCTAGTCCCCTACAATACAATTCACCTCCCCTCTTGTATTGTTCGTTCGAGTCAACAGATTCCATGTCCCCTTTTCTCTTTGCCATTTATATGGAATATCTTTCTAGGTGCTTATATGAGATGACTAGGGATCCAAACTTTAATTATCACCCTAAATGTGAAAAGCTTGGAATTACTCATATCATGTTTGCTGATGACTTACTTCTATTCTCTAGAGGTGATCTCATTTCAGTCCAACTTCTTTTTGAGGCTTTTCAGAAATTCTCAAGTGCTTCTGGTCTTGTTGCAAACCTTGATAAAAGTGATGTCTATTTTGGTGGTCTCACTGACTCTAAGCAAGATACTTTACAGGAAGCTTTGGGGATGAATAAGGGATCCTTACCTTTTAGGTATCTTGGTGTACCTCTCTCTGCTAAAAAGCTTACCATTTCTCAATGTAGGCCTCTAGTTGAGAGAATCACATCAAGAATTGACTCCTGGACTGCTAAGCATTTGTCTTATGCTTGTAGGCTTTAACTTATCAAGAGTGTGCTCTTTGGAATTCAAGCTTATTGGGCTCAGATTTTTGTTCTTCCAAAGAAAAAACATCAGAGAGATTGAGTCTAAGTTTAGATGTTTTCTTTGGACTGGCAATGGAAATCCTTCCAAGAAAGCTCTGGTTGCTTGGAAGTTTATGTCACTTCCTAAGTCTTGTGGTGGGTGGAATATCACTTTCCTTGAAGATTGGAACAACGCTGCTATTACTAAGATTCTTTGGGATATTTCTCATAAGTCTGAAAACTTATGGGTTAAGTGGATTCACACTTATTACTTTGCAAATAAAGATTCCTGGACTACTTTTGTTCCTGTAGACACCCATTTGTGTCTCCCCAAAACCAAACCCAGTGATGAGTGCCTTTCACGTCGAATCATAATCGAATGAAACGAAAGTGTGGAAAGGTCTGGTGTTGTGGAAAGTTTTATTTCTTTTCTTTTCTTTTCTCTTCTCTCTGTTTTTGAAAACTTTATTTTAAGAAAACAGTCAATCCAGTTTGGTTGGTCCATGATATGGGTCCAATAGTGGTGTAGTTGGATGGGGCTTGCAAAGACCTTTCCAACGATATATTATAAGCCCAATTCCGATGAATATTGAGGAATTTATGGCCAATTTACTAAACTGGGCCTTGTTTGAGCTTTAAGTACGACCCAATGATCTAGGGAGGGCCTAATATGATTTATCATTCCTAATGTAATTAGGAATGGTTTTGGTCTTCTAGAACATTCTAGAAGGTCTTATCATTCTTAATTCAGTTAGGACTCTTCAGAGCTTTAATCAAGATCAAATAGCATTTTCGACTGAAATTATATTATTTTATCTTCCAGTACGGTAAAATTATCAGATTTTCGAAAACGTGTTAAAATCCGGTTTGGCGTCCAACCCCAGGCCTTGGCGCCTGGAACCAGGATTGGCGCCAGACGCCAGACGCCAGCCATTAGCGCCTGGCGCTAGCCACTGGTCCTGGCGCCAATGAGCCAAGGCTGGCGCCAAGTTAGTTTTTCGATCTTCAGACTTTGTTTTGATAAATTATCTTTTTGGATGTTTTTCTTTATAAATATCGTATCAAAAACTCCGTTTTCAAGAATCATCTACATCTATCATTCACCAATTCTTTTTATTCTTAAGTTTTAATAAACTCCGTTTTCATTCATCATCTACAATCATCAATAGTCAACAATTACTTTATGAATCATTAATCTTTCAACATTCTTTCTAAACTTTGCTCTTTAATACAAAATTCCGCATTCACAAGATATTGATACACCTAGCCATATTCGAAGTTGCCTTTGCCCTAGACGTGAAAGGTTTTAATTTCTGAGAGTTTGGTCCCAAATCTCTCTTTCAATTATTTAATTTAATTGTTTTGATTATTGTTTTCCTTGAAGTTACTAACGTGTGTATTTTGTAATTAGAAAGAGGTACGAGGCATCCAAGTAAGTACTTTAATGGTTAATTGATTTATGATGTAGATATCATGCTTAGATTGTTATTTATGATTCCTAGTATCATGTCTAGGGTATCATTAATATTAAGTATGATAAAGTATGATGCTTCCTATGTTCTTTCTAATATTTATGTTTATGATCATTTATGATTATGATTATTTATTATGTTGCTTGATATGCATATTATTTTGTATTGTTATTGCTTGATCACCTTTTATTGCAGGTTAAAGGGAATTGGTATTTGCAATCACGCTTAATAAGATATTAATAATCTTGTTAGGTTAATTGTGATTATAATTCAAGTGATGCATTAATATTCAACCAACATAGATTAAATAGGTTTAGGGTTAATCCTATTGATTGTATGTTAGTCAGAAAGCGCACATGAATACGAGCAGAATAAAGTAGAGGCCTATTATTAGGGCAGGTTCAATCTCTTTTAGGTTGGATTTGTACCATCATCCCCGGACCCTTATTTGGTTCATGACCTTATGGAGTTGACGATCTCTTGGATTGTTAAGGGATGTAACCTTCACCTCGTGAACGGTTTACAAGTTCCTTAAAAACTTGTTGGCGACTCTTTTGCTCTATCTTCTTCCCTTTTGAACGCCACCGTACTTTAGTGTATGATCACAGTGGGGTTCAAGCTAGTGGGATTTTTAAAGGCTTGAAACTATTCCCTACAGTTTTTGGCGACTCCACTGGGGAGGATTTCTATTTTAATTCCTGAATTTGTTTCGGCAATGATTTAGAATGAGTGGATGAGACTCGAAAAGTTCTAAGTATTTCATGTGCGTAATTTTGATTAACATTATTGTCATATGCATGAAAAGGTTCTCATTGGAAAGACCATCCGTAATGAGTAAAAAACATAAGGATTTTACACGTAGGAAATTTGAGAAATGTCTTTCACAACTAGGACTGAAATAACACCGCGCGAAACAGGATGATTTTATTGAGCACAAAAAGCTGCTGAGGCATGTGGGAAGTAGCGTCAGGGGCCAGAGCTTGGCGCCACACTTTTTGCCGTAGCGCCAGACGCCAGTATTGGCGCCAGGCGCTACAGTTAAAAGTTGGCGCCAGTCTCTGTTTGCTGGCACCAATTTCCCCCAATACCGAGCCAGAAATATGTGTTCTAATTTCGACCGGTTTTTCGTATTGTTTGCTCGATCCTGCTTCCTGATTGAATTTTTTCTCACTTTTCTGAAACCCATATGTGTTCTACATATGGACATAACCCTCTGGGAATTCATGCTCCATCTACCCGATTGAACGCTCCTGGCAACAAAGGGTACATCTGAGAGGTTGAATTCACCAAACCATGGAAGTGAGTTTTTTCTAAAAACTCGCGGTGTTCTATCCACACGTGTTAACCCTTCACGGTTAGGCTTCTACGCGGTGCATCTGAACTATTAACCATGGACCCTGTTTGACTAAACCATATCCCGAACTTTAGAGAACTAGAGCCATGGTTAGGTTGCGAACTCATTGCATCATATTGTGCTTACTTGCCTAATTGTGCATTATTTGTTGTGCATATATATTCTATGCTCCTCCTAACCGTTTGTTGATTTGTGTTGAGATTATAATTGATGACTTAAAGAACTTTGCCTAATTAATTAATTAATTAATTCGAGTCAATAAAGTTTTTTCTTCTTTTAATTGGAATTGACCTAGTACGACTTTAGACATACCCAGTTGACTAATGATATCGAAAACAGTCCCAGACCGAGGCTCTAGTATTGGTGCCAAAATCTGGGCTGTAGCGCCACTGTATGGTGTGTAGCGCCAGACATTTACTAAAAAGTCTGGCGCCAACCACCATATTGCGACGCAGTCCTGTCGCTTGGCCGACAGTTCGGATTATTTGTCGAGTCATCACCTAATGTCTAATTAATCAGTTTCCTGTTTAATTCGGTTAATTTTGCTGGCAATAATGCTTAATTGAATCAATATTCGAGTTTAGGCACTACGTCCCATGGTCTTACACAAGAGTCTAAGTATGTCACTTACACTCAATACACACACTAATACACATGTCTTGACCATGATTAAGGGAGTCTTGGTGCGAGCGTTATTTTTCGTCATTTTTTTAGGGGGGTAAGTCGGATATTAATCCTCCAATAAATAATAGTACTTAAGTTCCCCATACACATGTCCATTATTGCTCCCTAAAAATATGCATACTTTTTTTGAAAATAAAAGCCATAAAGTCAAACTGATTCGAGTTAAGTAATTAAAACGCAAACTGGCTTAATTTACAGCGCGTGGTCAAGAAAGGAAGGATGATTAATCAAAGATAACCTTTTCGTACAAGTCCAACTTTTTGACAAACCTATAGCTCGCAAGAGGAAAGCAAGAGTTATAATGGCAACTCAGGAAGAAGTTAATGATCTCAAGAACCAACTGGCTACTGTAACTGAGACACTAAAGCTTCTCGCACTTAAGATCGAGGATCCCGCGAAGCAACAACAAATGGACCTCATGCAAGAAAGCCTAAGCAAGTTGTCCAGTGACTACAAATTTCAAGAACTCACATCCCAAGGGGTCTCGGTGGATAAGGATCTTCTTCCGCAGAAGTTCAGTGCCAACGACATCCCAAAGTTTAGGGCAATCGACAACCCCTACTTCCATCTAAGGGCATTTGAAACAACAATGAGTATCAAGGGTATCGATAAGAAAATTTTCCCTTCTTTGTTTTCACTATCTCTCGAGACCGTTTGCCAACAATGGTTCTTTTCTCTTGAAAAAGAAAAGACCTCTACCTGGGAATCCATAGCAAACGCTTTCGTCGATAGGTACAAGTGCAATGTTCAAGTCGAAACTGACCATAGAGAACTTGAAATTCTCAAGCAGAAGGAGAATGAAGGCTTCACAACTTTCTTTAACAAGTGGAGAGAAACCTCAGCTAAAATGATTGAGGTACCAAGTGAAAAAGAGTCTATGAGATTGTTCATTAAAAATCTCCAAGAAATATATTCAAAACATCTTAAATATCAAAATAACCTTCATACCTTTAAGGCTGTTTATGATATTGGGATTAATATTGAAGATGACTTAGCTAAATCTAAAGCTGCCAACAATAACTCCAACAGTGGCTGGAAAGGAAAGAAGAACGACAATCCTTCTTCTTCCAAAACCGCCCACTCAAATAATGTTAGCACCTTTAATCAGGGAGAACTCCTCGCCATGAACAACCAAGGACAAAAGAAACTGTTTATGAGAAACTTCACTCCTATTGGCATGAGTTATGACACCGCGTTTGATCGGCTAAATGCAAAAGGTCTTATAACTCCCATTGAACCATTTGGGGATCCACCAATCGAGAAGAGGTCGCCTAATTTGAACCCCAATGCACATTGCAAATATCATCAAGGTAGGGGCCATTCCACTGAAAACTGTTGGAAGCTTAAGGAAGCTATACAAGACCTGATTGACAGTAATAAGCTGTCCTTGCCTCCTGCCAGTAAGAAACCGAGTATTGACAATGCACCTTTAGCTCACACATTGGCTATCTCCGATGAAGAAGGCGAAGTTGACCCCTCATCTCTTATTAAGCCTGTCAAAGTAACCGACGTCGAAGAAGAAGAAGAAGAGACCTTTTTCAATGTCGAAGATAATCTTCCGGAACCAGCAAATGAGGTAGAAATACGAATACTCACACTATATCTGAGGGAGACATCACAACTGTTACATGAAACTCTCAAAATTCTGAATGAACTTCGCAAGGAATATGATCAAGAACCTAAGAGAGAATTCACACCAGTAAAAACGACTTATGAGGCAAAACACTTTCCCTTACAAGTCACCGAAAGACCCAAGAAGAGAAATAAAGTTTATACTCCAATTGGGATCCCGTATGCA